AAGAGAAAGATAAACAGAAATTTTAGCCCCCCAAAACACAGAAAATCCCACTCCTATGCTCATCTCTCACCCTTACGTCACAAGCCCAAGCTAAGAGGAGTGAAGAAGCATAACTAATATGAAGCTAATTTCAGTGTGTATACCCTGGACTGGATATGTTAATTAATGAACTAGGTTACTTAAATGATGGATTTTTTAAAAATTTGCAATTGTAACTATATGTTTTATTATATATAGTCTGTTTCTAAGCACAGACATGCACTGGAAAGTGATATTTAGTTGGTGACAGATGCGTATACATTGGTGGTCCAATTGGATTAATCTGTCCAATTATATCATAGCCATCTGAATTTATGTAACTGTACAATGGTCCCAAAACAAGGAAATCCTGATTTCTCAAACCATGTCATCATTAAGTAACACATGAGCGTCTGTGTACCTTGTGGAATGGTTAAATTATACAAATTAGCATATATATTTACTCATATACTTATTTTTTGTTCCGGGAACACTTAAAATATACTCTGTAAATTAGAGGAAGTTTTTGTTTAAAATGAGTATGAACCAAAATGCTATATGTCTACTGCAGTTTTTATCCAGATACAGGAAAGTAAATTGGTCATAGAACTGATTTAAATAGGCTGTGGAGCAGTTACACTATGAATAAATGCTAATGTGATATTTTATTTTCAATGTAGAATGTGAAGTCGGTGTTGATACTCAGAAGACAAGGAATATAAACAATTTGTGGTGAGGGGGTTTAGGGAGCTGCAGGACAAGTTTACAGGAAGGTTAAGATGCTGACAGCAGTGTGTGTTCTGGCAAGGAGACAGTTGTAGTAATATGCCACATGGTCTAGAGAGCACTTCTAGATCATTCTAATTATGTAACAGACTTAAAAAGCACAGAGGGCAAGCAATACAAATATAAACATTATATGGCATATTTATAATAATGTGATAAAATTGAAATATATTCTAAGAGAAATACATTTATGTTTTCAATTTAGTGTTAAATGAATAAAGCAGAAAAAAGTTAATGCAGTTTGATTCATACAATATAGTAATAAATTTATCTTGAATAATAAAACATTCTGTTACTCCCTACTCAACATGAATTTAAATATAAAGATGTTCCCTTTCTATATTTATTAAGACTCTGAAGTGATCTCTCACATCAAATAATAATTGGTTGTTATGGAGACAGATTTTCCCTCATGCTACTTTGAACCAAAGGAATTCCCTGAGTAGGTTAAGAAAACAACATAAATCATGATAGAATTTATTGCATAAGAAAACTTGTACATATTAGCTTGATTGGTATAAAGTTAAATAAGTCAAATGTTTTTATTTCAATTCCTTTAGGAGACATGCGCCTTTTCTTCTATATTCATACCTAAGACAGATTCTTATATAAGGACTCTGAGATATATACTCTCAATCAAAAGTAGACTAGAGAAAAATTCGTGAGCTTTATTTGGAAAATCAGAATCCAGGGTTAAAATGCAAGGTTAGTTGAAAAGTTATGTATAATACTATATATACATATATCACATGAATGCTTAGTAAAAACATATGTGATTGATTGAGAGTCATGGAGAATATATTCCTGAAAATATATTAGTTAACATATTACATTTCTTTAATTAAAATATTCTAACATATTTATTAGTTTTTCATCATTGTGACCAAATACTTGACATAAACAACTTAAAGAAGGAAGGGTTTATTTTTGCTCATGGCTTCACAGATTTCAGTCCTTGTTCAGCTGGCTTCAAGGCTAAAATTTCATTGTGGAAGAGCATGGTAGAAGAAAGCTTTACAACTCATAACAAAGGAGAATAGAGGACACATCTAAGAGGAAGAGATAGACACCAGATATAGTCCCCTAGGTCAGGCTCGCAAGCCACTCAGACACAACCAGAAATGTGTTTTCATAATCTTTAGGTATCTCTCAAATCAACCAAGTTGTCAATGAGTTTTAACCATTATAATATATTATATTTTTAAATTTGAATTGAGTTTGCACAAATATTTTCAATAGTTTTAAAAACATATCATTGACCAACTGTGATATATTCTAAAATCTTGTCTTTATTTTTTATGTACTTACACTAAAACATAAAAAGTTCTGTCATCAGCAAACAGGCACAAAATGATCAAAGGATTCTCATCACATCAACTAAGAAAACATATTTCCTTTTTTTAGCCACCTCACTTAAAAATGGCAAGAAAATTTGGGTCTTATATCCTAAGACCCAATTTGGAGTGCAGATTTTTAGTTATGGTCATTGCTATTTCAACTGATGGCTATAAAATTGTCAAAGTATAGTTTATATTTATATATGTGATTACAAACTTCACAGACTAACCCTTGGGGCATTATAGTGAATTAAATATACCCATGCCAAAATTTTCTACATAAATTTGTACTTTAGCATAATAGTAGCCAGCTGTGCATGTTAGTACCTTTCCCTGAGGGATGCAGGAAGCAATCTCTGAGTTTACTCACTTAGTACAACAAAGAGCAATGTGTGTGCATATATGCTAAAGTGGAAAAATTGGATTTTCACTTACATGCTCCACCTAACAGGTTTTGTGTATGTTTACCTGATCATTACACAGGGTATAATATACCCACATCCTCTAGAATGTTTTTTTAAATTTTCTTTTGATTTCTCTGGTAGAAGTAGCCCTATTCAGTACAGTGGCACTGGAAAAAAATAGATTAGCAAATTTTGCAGGTCAAAATGAATCATCATGTTACTCATGCATGGATGATGAAGAAGATCCATTATGGAAAATATATGTTTTCATAAGAGTGGTGTTGGTGGATGATGATGATGATGATGATGATGATGATGACTTTGACATTGGCCATGTGAGCCAATGTTCCTGTGACAGTGAAATGGAGCAAGAATCAACACACATAATTACAGGGAATGCAGGCCATCTTGATTCAGATGACAAAGAAAACAGCAATGTGAGTCCATATTTGACTAGTCCAAATGGTCATGCAACCAAATGGAATGATCCAATGTTAGAACTAGATCTGAAAATACAGTGAGCACCTTGGCAGGGGTGAAACCTATTGGACAGAATGCCAGCACTGCCATTCAATGTTAGAAATCATAACCGACAGAATGCTACAAGATGTTGTGAAATACACAAAGGCTGAAATACAAGTAAAACATTCTGTATGCACCAATAGCTGTACTCAGAAATGTATTTATCATGTTACTTACCTAGCTGAGCTGAAAGCATTCTAGGTCTTCTGTATTTAGCAGGGCTTTCTCATGGTAATTTCAGGAATGTAAACAATTTATAGGAAAGTGATGGACGTGGGCTTGAGGTGTGTAGAATAACAATGACACTGAGGAAATTTGGTTTCCTTCAAGATTGCCTAAGGTTTGATGACAAAACCACCCACCAATAAAGAAAAAGGAAATGATAATCTGGCTGCTACCTGGTCATTGTTTAACAGATTTGTGGGTAACTGTCAACAATTTACACAACATCTGAATACATGATTATTGATGAACACCTTGCAGCATTTCATGGCCACTGTAGCTTCAGGGAGTACATGCCAAAAAACCCCTTAAAATATGGCATAAAAACTTATGCACTTATAGATGCAAAGACTTATTATGCTTTCAACTTAGAAATGTATTCTGGAACTCAGCCACCAGGTACTTACTTGTATAGCGATAAAATGAATGATGATGTGCACAGATTTGTTGCTCCTATCTCCCAAACTAATCAGAATATGACACTTGACAATTGGTTTACCAGTTTCCAACTGATGTGATATTTGCTAACAGAGCACACGTTGACCAGTGTAGGATCTGTACCCAGAAACACAGCCGAAATTCCAAATGAAATGTTGCAATTTCAAAACAGAGAATTGTATAATACAATCTTTAGAATTCAGAAAGTTTTACATTGGCCTGGAACATGGTAAAGAAAAGCAAACTGGTACTGCTGATGTCAACATTGCACCATGATGGAAATACTTATATGGAAAACTTGACAAAACAGAAACCTGAGATGTAAACTTTCTACAACAAAAGCAAAGGTGGAGTAGATGTTGTTGATGAGTTATGTAGCAATTACGACAGCACTCAAAACATAAAGTGTTGGCCCACAGTTGTGTTTTATTCAATCCTAAACATGTGTGGCATAAATAGTTTGATAGTTTACAAAGAACAGAACAAGTGCAAAATATCACAGAGAAATTTTCTTAAAGGATTGAGACTCCCATTTATAAGAGATTATTTTTGGCAGAGGAAAAACAAAATGTTTTTGCCCAGGAAACTACAAAAAAATAAAAATAAAAGGAGAACACTGATGAGCTGACAGGTAAACAGGCAGGTACAGTATCCCAAAGATCTACTATGACAACAGGAAAACCAAAAAAACGTCAACTGTGCCCTACAAGAAAGGACAGAAAAACAAAATGTACATGCTATCACTGTAACAGATACATGTATATTAAACATGCAATTTTCATGTGTGAAGACTGCCTTGGGTGAAAATTGAAGCAAGGATTATTTTTGTTGTAGAGTTCTATTGGTATTTTCATTGTAGCTGACATTTATATCTGGTCTTCTTTTTTAGACTTTGTACACACACAAAAAAAGTCGATGTTGAAAATTTTGATGCATTTTTATAAACATTCAATAAATATTAAGAATGTAGTAATTTATTTTTGTGATTTTTTTTCCTGTTAGGCTCTCATTGTTTAATATAATGAAACTATAAAATTAAAATTAATAATTCATCAATAGAAATATTCTAAAGAATAAACATAGGGTGGACACACCCATGTTTATGTACCTTTATGACAAAAAATATGTTAGGCCCCTTGGGTTAATCTGTCAGTCAAATATGTACTTGATATCAAAACATTTGGACTGTTATTTTTATTCAAAAATGTTGAGTTGCCTTAATTGCATTTCCTTTATAACTTAAAATTGAACATTTTGTCATTGTTTTTGACAGCTGAAGATGCTTGTGGAGGAACAATGAGAGGATCCAGTGGTATCATATCCAGCCCTAGTTTTCCTAATGAATACCATAACAATGCAGATTGCACTTGGACCATTGTAGCAGAGCCTGGGGACACAATTTCACTCATATTTACTGATTTCCAAATGGAAGAAAAATATGATTACTTAGAAATAGAAGGTTCTGAGCCACCTACAATATGGTAAGTAGTTTTTATTAATCTAGCATTGATGTCATATTCTGAGACAAATTGGGGACCAGAGTATTAACATAGATCTTTAAAGGTCTGGATATTTAAAGAACCTTACAGGAAAGTTATAGGGGGCAGTTGTCAGAGCTGAGAGGTATTTTTGAGGGCTAACAGTAAAATAAAAGATTGCCATTTTAAAATATGGATCATCAGTATTACTCTAACACTCCATCAGTGAAAAGTAATCTATACCTTTACCACAACTTAAGGAAATAAATATTTTTAAATTTTAATTTATATTTGTGTTTCTTAGCATGCTAGACAACACCTAGTAGTTTCCAATTAAGAGAAGAGTCTTTGAAGCAAATTACTTTTTGCTTTTTGTGCACATAATTTACTTATCCTGCTATATGAAGGTAAAAATTAAACAATGAAAATTGTATTCAGGACACATTTTAGCACATATTTTTAAAATAAAATGTTTCTTTATACTATTTTAAGAAACGTAGTGTCTACTGATACCATTAGTCAAATTATGAGTCAGTAATGGAGGGAAAGAATGATACCATCATTGAAGAAATGGGTAACCACTAGACGAGGAAGGACCTTTTAAATCATGGAAAGCTTATCTAAGAACAGTGAGAATTTTCCAAACAATTGCATAAAGAAGTTTGAATTTTTAAATGATTATTCTTACTAAAGAATAGAGATTGATTCAAAGTGGAGCTCGATTAGCTGTTGGAAAATCACTTAGGTGATTAGAGTAATTCAGGGAAATACCATAGCTTGGATTAAGGGCTTATTAATGAGACAAAGAAATAGAATAAGTTGAGGGTAAAATAAAGGAGATACAATTAAAAGGAATTTTCAATGGACTGGAGACTGATAAAAAGGTAAAATTAAAATTGAAATTAAACCTAGTTTTAAAATCTGAACAAATGGTGAGGGCAACAGTCATAGTCAGTGAGTTGGAAATGTTAAAGGAAGGTCAAGTTTGGAATGGCAACTCTATAAATAAATACTGCAATTTGTTTTGGATACATTTAGTTGATATTTGTTTGAAAGATGCTATTAGAGCTATATAACAAATAATGCTATATGATTTAGAGTCATAAAATAAAAACATAACAGTGATATGTAGTTCATATTAATGGATACTGAAGAAATAGAGATTAAAAAAATTTAGCCTGATTAGGTGACAATGGAATGAGACGACAAAGGGTATTGTACTGAACTTGAGGGTGAACAACATATAAAGACTAAGGTTAGAAGGATGACCATGCAAAGAAGACAGAGGAAGTGTACTGAGAGAGGTAGAAGCAAACTCTAAGGAATAAAGTATCACATGGACAAAGGAAGAACAATGGCAACAAAAAAAGAGTAGACATCATTGTGCATTCCTATTCAAAGAACAAGAGGTAAATGTCTTTAAAGTCACAGATGGTGGGCTGCAAGTAATGTGTTAAGTATTTTTATCACTGTCGATCTTACTTTTTAAATCGGACAACAATAATGCACTCAAATGCACCCATTTTTTCACTTTCTACCTTCATACCCTCCATACTCAGGTATTTTATCTATTTTCATAATTTTTATATCACAGTATGATGAAACCCAGTAGAATCATGGCTTAAAATATTAGAAAATATGAAAACTATTTTAGAAATGGCTATTGTTACAGGTTTTCATATTTGGTATCTATCAAGATATAATATAAAATGATGCCATGAATTTTCCAAAGATTGAAATATTTTTATATATAAACTATCTCAATATAATATCATTTTCAAACATGCAAAATATTTGATGAGTCCACATAATGAAGATCAGAAACATTGTTTTGTAGCACCAGTACCTTTACTACCACTCAACTCTAAAAAACAAATTTAATATTTTTACTCTGTGGATCGTAATATTCCATTTTCTCATTTCATATTAAAACATCCTTCATAACAATTTGTGTGTCTTTTTTTATCAAAATGAGTTGTTAGAGCAATACATATTGTCCAGATCCACAAATAGTTTTTTTTCTTTTCACTTTCTTCTTTCGAATGACACTGGGCCACTACCTAATTTTATCTTCCTCAGGAAGAAAACAGAAGTTGAGAGATTCATTATTTTGTTGTTATTTTAAATTAACATTACAGTAATGTTTAGGAAGACTTATGAAAACTCTGTTATATACTGAGTCAGTAATAAGGTCATTTGGCATGTTTTAAGAAAGTCATACAAATGTTTAAACAGAACTATTATATCTTTGACTCTTGTTAAAAGTACATTACAATTTTAAATGTGAAATAAAGTGTTAAAAAATTAACAATATTTTATATGTTTGCATATCATAAGATAGCCTTTCTTTTAAGTCATATTAGCTACAGAATTGATGTATAAAATCATTTGTGGATAATGAAAACTTTTATATCTAACCCTGACTCTCTAATCTCTTCAAAACATTCAAAGTTTTCGTTCTTTTTAAAGATAGGGTCATCAAAATGACACATCTTGTTTCAGGGGGCATTATATTAAAAATTCTTCCTTATAAGTATACATTGTTCATAGAACATTTTTCATTCAAAACAGAATTCAAAGGAAAACATGAACAGGAAGACATTCATGTTCTTTTGATTAAAATAACATGGTTTCTTTTATATTAAGTTTATTGGTACATTTTAGGTATACATTATGATCCTATTCATCATTGGGCATTTGTACCTCTACATAATATATCCCTTTTTTCCCCTGTACCTATGCACTCCATTCCTCCCCAACCCCCCCTACTTACTAAAGCTTGTGTTCTTTCCTTCTTGTATTTTTTCTTTCCCTTCTTCCCTTTCCCCCACCCCCAACCCCCAGTTACCCTTCCCCTTTAAACCTTTTCTTCCTATTTCACAATGTCAATTATACATGTTGGTCCTCATTTACTTTCAGTTTCTCACACCAGGGAAACAATTCAGTATTTATGCATGTGTGTCCTATTTCAGTTAAGAGTATGGTTTCAAGGTCCATGTATTTAACTATAAATATCTCTAGTTTGTCATTCTTCATGGATGAGTAGTACTCCATTTTGTTTAAAACAAATAAAAACCCACATCTTCTTCACCAGTCACTAGTTGATGGGCATTTGGGCTGTTTCCAAGATTTAGCTATTAAAAACTATGCCCCTATAAACATGGGTGAGCATATATCACTGTGGTATGATTCTTTTAATTCTTTTGGGAAGATACGCAGCAGGGGAATAGCTGGGTCAAATGGGACTTCTAATACTAGCTTTTTGAGGTATCTCCATACTGATTTCCACAGTGATTGCACCAGTCTGCATTCCCACCAACAGTGGAGAAGGGTCCTCTTTCCCCCAGATCCCCGCCAGCATTTGTTATTGGTTAATTTCTTGATTGGAGGCATTCTTTCTGGAGTGAGGTGGAATCTCAAATAGGAACCTGAAAGGAAGCAGGAGTGGCTATCCTATTTGCAGACAAAGTGGATTTCAAACCAAGACTAATAAGAGAGACAAAGAAGGTTACTACACCCTTATAAAGGGAACAATCCAAGAGGAAGAGATGACAATCACAAATATATATGCAACAAACACTAATGTACCCACCTACATAAAACAAATGTGAATGAACAGATCATAGTCCAATGAAATTGGAGATCAATAGCAAAAGAGACCACAAGAACTTCACAAACACATGGAGATTGAGTAACACCCTCCTGAAAAACCAATGGGGTGCAGAGGAAATTAAATAAGAAATTAGACAGTTTCTACAATTAAATAATAAATGGTTTCTTTGATGTGAGAACACTCATTCGGGGACCAGGAACTTGTCATTAACGGCTACCATTCTAGTTTGGCTCTTAAGTCCAGTGAGGTAAAACTTGATCTGTCTTGTGTTTGATTTTGTCAACCCAAACAGCCAGTCTAGTGGTGTGCTGCACAAAGAATATTAACAATCAGCTACTTCCTTCTCTGCAGGGTGTACGTGCTAAATCATAGATTCTTGTTTATTGCACAAAATCAGTATAATCCAGCAGGAAGGTACTGGATCCATACAGTTATTACTGGATAACAAAATTCTGTGAGACTTGATGATGCCATTATAATGAAATAAAAAATGACAAGAATAAAAACATGTGTTCTAGATTCAGCTTTGAATTTTTTGTTCATTCACTACAACAAGTCAGACATCTGAAACCTGTAGACCTCAGGTTCCTGGCTGGTAACCTTCAAGTCTTCACTAAGTGTAACACGTACAGCACTATCAGTGTAGCTGTAATGGCATGGGCAAAGCCCTTATTTACAGAGCTCTGGATGCAGAGTTGGATTCTACTCTCTTTAACATTTTTTCTAAAGTGAATTTAGGTTTTTACTAGAATTGCAGTCATTCAAAGCTTATTCAAGAAGTACTTACTGCATTATCTACTGCATTACAACATTGTTCTAAGTATTTCCATGACTGATGTAACAAAGAGACCTATTCCTGTGGAACATATGCTCTGTAAAGGGATAAAAACCATACATATTTATCAACATAAATAAATAACAGGTTATTTGTAAAATTTAGGATTTAGGTGATAATTTATGATTGCTGGAATAAAGAAATAGCAGCGGAGATCATAAGAAGTCATTGGATTTTCAAAATAAAGTTGACAGAATTTCACAATGTAAATTTCAGATGTGAAGTGGGACAAAGGGGAGAAATGAAAAACTCTAAGTTGAATAAATATAATTTGCACTAAAAACATTGAGGAGTCTACTAAACATTTTTAGTAGAAATTTTTTAGAGAAATGATCTAAAACTTCATTGTGTACATGATAAGTATGAGCTGGCTAATAAATAACTTGGTGAGGATTTCAAGGAGATGAAGAGATATACAGGTCAGAGATCAGAATCAAAAGTGTGAACTAGAGATCTGAATTTACAAATTTAGAAGTAGAAGTGACTATTCTTCTGCAAAGAGAAGGTATTAAATTTCAAAAAGAGAAAAAGTTAAATGAGTCCTAGAGCTTTTCG